ACATGTGGACTGGGACAGGTTCATGTTTCCTCTTCCCACATGGGGCATCTGCCATCCCACTTGTACCAGAAAGGGGCATCCATAAGTAGAAGCCAAGTTGATTGAGGATGTTAGACATGATTTGCCTTTAACAAATCCATGTTGGCTGTCCTTTATTAAAACCCATATTTTTCTAAGAGAAAATTTATTTGGTCCCGGATTATAGTCTCTAGAAGTTTCCCCACTACTGACATTAGGCTGGCTGGCCTGTAGTTCCCGGGTTTATTCTTCTGCCCCTTTTTGTACAGGGGAGCAACATTTGCACTCCTCCAGTACTCTGGGACCACCCCGGTTTCCAAGGAGGATTGAAAGATTGTGGTCAGAGCCTTGGTTATCTTTACTCTTACTTCCCTCAGTAACCTAGGATACATCCCGGCCGGACCGGGTGACTTATCTACCTTAAGCACCGATAACCTTTTTAATACCTCCTCTCGGTTTATTCTTATCTTATCCAATTTCTCTACCCTCTCCTCCGATACTGTGGCATTGGCTGCATCCTCTTCTTTTGTGAAGACAGATGCAAAGTACTCATTTAGTACATCAGCCATGTTCTCTGCCTCCACAAGAAGATTTCCTCTTTGGTCCCTAATTGGACCCACCCTACCCTTGACTAACCTTTTATTCTTTATATGCTTATAAAATACCTTAGGGTTCCCTTTTATGTTGCAGCTAAACTTTTCTCATACAATCTCTTTGCCCCTCTTATTTCCTTTTTCAGTTTTTCTCTGTACTTTCTAGATTCTATTTGATTATCTATTAGTGTCAGGACTCCTCTGGGGACAACAACAGCTGTGTTTATAAATATAAAAGCTTCTGTCACTGTTTCTCATTGGTGAAGAGGAATGAAGTCGCGACACTGGGGGAAAACCGTGTCTTGGGATGGGCAAGGAAACCTGTGAGAAATCTGAGCCCGTGTGATAGCTGGTCTTTTCCAAAGTTGAGGCAGCATTTCCTTTTCTCTGATTAGCGTAGTTTCAACCCCAGGGGCACCGCTGAAAACCTTACATTTGCATGAAAGAGTGGGGTAAAATTCACAATGTCGTTTTTTAGCGCTGGAGGATGGAGTGGACTGTGTGGAAGCAGGCTTCAGGGAGCTGTACCGGTTACATGGGTGAATTTTAACCACAACAACAACTTAATAATAATAATAATCCTTGCATTTGATATAGCGCTTTTCACGTCGGGAGGACGTCCCAAAGCGCTTCACAGAATACACTGTAAAGTGAATTGACTGTATTTTTTGTGGGCGAACGCGGCAGCCAATTGCGCACAGCAATGTCGCACAAACAGCCATAGATTGAAAATGATCAATGCTTTTGGTTTTTTGGAGGAATTATTATTAGGCATGTGGAATAAGGAAACTTGCCCAAGGTTTCGCCCTGTGCCTGGAATTGAACTCAGGTCTCTCGCTTGCAAAGCGAGTGCTCTAACCACTGAGCTAAAGGACTCCACAACTTGTACATCATGCAGGGTAGTGTCTCAGAATGCTTAGCACCAGTATAAATTGTATAGTGCAAACTAGAGGTGTTCCTTAACATTTTCCTTATGCTATATAACACAAGCAACAGGATAAAGGGTGTTTTAAATGTTACGTGAGTGTCTGGGAGCTGAAATGGCTGCTCTTTTAACCCATGATTGAATTTAACTATAATTCAGTCTGCACTCATCTACTGGGCCTTCCATTTGGTGCGGCTGATACACCAGTGGGGAAAAGAGGGAGGTGCTATCTTGTTTCCCTCTCACTGAGACCATGTAGCAGTGGAGTCCATAACAACAGTAGGAACATCGCAAACTCCTGGCAAAATCCATCTTTAAAAAAGCCCTTCCAGGGTCACAATCTCAATGAGTAGTGGCTTTCTGCTTTTTTCTTTAACCTTTACCCCCTTCCTTATTACTTCCTGTGGAGTCCTGTAGCTCAGTGGTTAGAGCACTCGCCTCGCAAGCAAGAGACCTTGGTTCAATTCCCAGCAAGTTTCCTTACTTCACACACCTAATAATAATCCCTCAAGAAAAAAAACAATAATAAATTGGTCACTTCAATCCACGACTGTTTGTGGGACACTGCTGTGCGCAATTGGCTGCCGCGTTTCGCCCACAAATATACAGTCAATTCACTTTATAGTATATTCTGTAAAATGCTTTGAGACGTCTCGAAGATGTGAAAAAGCACTATATCAAATGCAAGGATTATTATTATTACTTCTGTATAATGTCGTCTTGAACTGCATTGGGAACAGCAGCTGTTTAGGTGACGTGATTGGGGCGTTAATCACATGAAGTTCTCAAGTGGCGACATTTGCTGTCAGCTCTTGTGTCACTGGGCTCATGCGATATGGGTTTTCACACGTGTCAGACATCGGACTGACCAAAAAACATTATACCATGACGGACAGGGATTGATTCACTCCTTAGTCCAGAAATGTCAGGCATTTGCCTGGAGAAAATAGCTGCTGGATTTATGTGTTCTTGGATCTCATTTATGTGTTCTTGTGGGCTGTTATGAGACTTCACATCGGCACAAGTAGCAAAGGGGTAAATTGGGAGGATTTATTTTTAATGATATGGAATGGCCTGCCAGGTGCAATGGTTGAGATAGGATCCATACTACCTTTCAAGAGGGAAGTAGATAGATACATAGAAGTCTAAAAAAGGGTAATTTGAAGGGGTATGCATAATAACAACAATAATAATAATCACTGCATTTAGTATAGCATCCTATTGTGTTATCAAGATGTTTTTAAGCGCCTAGTTTTAAAGTGTAGGCACAAACAATGTCCCAAACAATGGCTTTCTTATGCACTGTAAAGTTCTATGGTTCTATGTGGGTGTAAAATGTGAGGAACAACTCATTTCCAAAATATAGTAGTAGCATTCTCACCGCTACATCAGAAAGGTGTGGGTTCAGGCTCCACGTAGAGCTTTTTAGCTCACAATCTATGCTGACAGTACAGTGCTGATGGTGTACCTTGTTATCAGAGATGCCATCCTTCAGATTAGGAAGTTAAATCAATGTCCTGTCTGCCTGTTTAGGTGGACTTTAAAGATCCTGTTGCACTATTCAAAAAGAAAAGGGAGTTTCTCCTGGTGTCCTATCCGACACTCTCCCAGATAAAATCATCTTTTTGTGGGGCATTGCTGTGTGCAAGTTGGCTGTTCACCTACAAATAGACAGTAACTACACTTTACACTAAAATCCTGTTTTGTTAACGTAATGAGGTTCTATATCAAATGTACATATTATTTATCATGATTCATTATTATTATTGTTTATTTTCTTGGCTTGATCTGCCTAAGAGGAGAAAAAGACGTGCTCTTCCCAAACCAGAAATAATGTTTTACCAATTGTCAGGCATAGAGCTGTGGTGTTAAAATGCTATTCTTTCATAGAGCAAACAAACTATTTACTTTGAATCTGTAGAAGGTGCCTTTTCTGCGAGCCTCTTGTGAAAACTGCCATGTGTCTGAAAGACTCACAAGTTATGGCTATTTGGACGAGCGTGACTGGCATCCATGTTTCAGTAGAAGGAAGAACGAGTCGAACATTTTCATAAGCAGGGGAGGGGACAAAAATTGGCAGGAATTTCTTTTTAAAAGGAAACTGCTCAGGTGTCCTCTCCTAGTTGAAGCTTTCTTGCGGCAGATGTGAAACTTACTCAGCTCTTTCTCAATGTCTAGTATTTTCATCACATGGTCATGTGGCCTGTCTAACGGTGACCTTTATTTAAACCTATTTGGTACTTGTGTTAATAATATACTGTTAACACGGCTGTCAGCATCAAGGAGATGCCCAGAGTGAGATTTATGCTCACAAGGAGAAAATACGTATCTTGTCACGACAATGGACTGCCAGATGACTTAATTGGTTCAGGAACCCATTGGGTGGGGGTGGGGGTTGGGTGTTGGTATGGAGTTATGCTACATCTGATATTATGCATGAACCATGACAGCACTTGGAACTCTCACAGTCTAGCCCTCCGGGCCGCTGTCCTGCGTGAGGGGCACTATATAAATCCAAGTTGTTGTTGCTGTCTAGGTTGATACTCCAGGGCTGTGGTTGGATCGCCGGAGCTGCCGTCCTTCGGCTCACTTCTTGCCTTTTTGTGGGACATTGCTGCACACAAATCTTCTCGCGTGTCCACCCACAAAACACACAATCCCTGCACCTCGTATATTGACACAAGTACCAAATAGGTTTAAATGTCACTGTTAGACAGGATACATGAACATGTGATAATAATACTACCCATTCAGAAAGAGCTGAATAACAGTACAGGTGTATCCTCCCATCGTGAAAGGCGCTACACCAAAGATTAGGATTATTATTAGGTGGTAGAGTAAATTACAGTGAGACTGCACTTGCAAAAATTGACCACAATTTTTCATTTTAATCCTAAAGTATTGAGTAATGCTCTTACAACAGCAACAAAATTACATTTGTATAGCACCTTTCATGGCAGGAGGACGTCCCAGTAAATACAAAATAAAATACATTGAAATGGTACCTATGTTTTCTTCCCTGGGCTGTAAGAACAGCATATTATCCCAAATGAATAATCTTTGCATTTGATATAGCACCTTTCATAATAATAGTATTAATAATCCTTGCATTTGATATAGTGCCTTTCATCTTAGGGGACGTCTCAAAGAGATGTCAGAGAGCTTCAGGGATATGGGATGAGTTTACAAATTGATTGCACTTCTCCATTCATGAACGTTCATTTGGGACAGGAAGAAAAATGTGCTGATTATCTTTTCAGCAATATTATTGGAATATAAGTAACAACATTTGACGGACGAATAAATGTTATTCCAATGTGGCCAAAGGAATAATAAAATGAGCATAATGTTCTTCTCAGAGGCTCTTCAAGCTACAAACATTTGTTTGTACAAGGTATCTACAGTGAAAACTAGAATCTGCTCAAATTGTATTTACTCACTCAGTCTCTTGTCTTCTCCCACAGGCCATGTACATGTTCTATGCCCTGGCGATTGTTTGTGATGACTACTTTGTCCCTTCTTTGGATAAGATCTGTGAGGTAAGGATATGCTGTGACATGCAGTGGACATTTGAATCAGAAGTGCTTACTGCTGGCTCAATGGGTAAATGTACAGAGTTGTGCTGTCCTGATGTACAAAAAACAGCTTCCATTCTCCAGTCTATTGAGTTAGCTATTCTCAACCAGATTGGTATTGGCAGCATTGTAATTTTCCTCCATGCCCCAGGACAGGATGGTTTTGCTTTCCTAGTGGTTAGCCATTGATCCTTGCTTGCTTGGATCAATGAATCATCCATCAACACTCACACATTCTCAGGCATGAGGAATGGCTAATTGGGAAAGGTACCAGTGAATAGCCAGTATCTGTGAAACCAGGCTCTAACAGGAGTCAGTAGAAGACTGGTCTGAGAATATTTCACAAGGAACAGAGCCTATCAGTGTAAGTGGCTCAAAACTCAGTCCAAATGATAGAACAGCCAAGACGCTCAATCACTGGTACATTATTCTGTTTATTACTGGGAGTTGAGCCATCCTGGAGCCTTAAGCATTGTCTTTAATACAAGAAAGCTGCAGGACCTTCTCTCTCTTCTTTCCCCCTCTCCTGTGCTTCCATCTATTCTATAAAGTGAATGTATGTTTTGCTTATCGCTTGTGTGAAATATCAATCTGTGGGGCAGTCGGGTCATTATTCATTCCTGCTGAATAACAACATTTCACAGCTGGGTAATGTTCTGTCAATGTCAGACACATGTAGCAGATGTTATTGAATAAATATTTGAAGAGAATGAGTTTAAATATTCAATGATTTAAAAAAAACAGCGTAAGCGTGAACTTCAAACATAACTTTGCATCAGTCAAGTAGATAAATTGCACACAGTTAGAATAAGGGACTCCTGCTTTGGAGAGAATTACTACTATGTTTTGACAACCCAAAAAGTGTATCTCAGGCTTTGGCAGAGTCCACGGTCATTTTATGCAGCTGTTATTTGCTAAAACATGCTGAAGTATTTGTAGGGAGGAGAGCAGGTTGACATTGGGATGATCAGCTTTGTCCCTCCCTTCCATTCCAGCAGTCTGAACTTGGGCCATACACATCTGTCTTTCTACTCTATATGAAAGAGATAATGTTCCAAAAACAAGTTGACAGGCAATTCTGAATGTTTCAAATAATTTGAAATGAGAAGAGGGAGAAAGCAGGACAAAACTAGAAGAGCTGAAGCAGTGGAGAACTGAGATTTAGGACAGGCAGAGGAGGTAGCCTCAATAGGAAAGTCTGCTATGAATGCAAAAGAGAGAGATGAAGAGCAACAACAACACCTTGCATTTATATAGGCCTTTCAAGTGGGTAGTGTCCCAGAGTGCTTAAGAGCAGAACAAATGGGAGGGTTGAGATATGAGAGACACAGATAAATGATTTCAGAGAAAGCACGAAGAGCTGGGATATGAAGTATGTGCTTAGATGGATAGATTGGTACACAAATACCAAAATTGTAATGTGTGAAAAATAATTTTGAGGGGTTACTATATTACTCATTGTTTACCATTAGAGTCAATTCTGTTTTCAGAGCAGTAGAACAAATGGTGCAGAGTTTGCTGAGAGAATCTGTGACTTTGTTTTGATTTTCATCAGTAATTTCCCTGTGGATTCAACTTCAACATCTATATATTTCAATTTATGACTAGCTCGCTTTATAACCGATTATTAAAATCCTGAACCTGGAGTGGCAGCTCTGATGGTGTAAAGGATAGAGCTGCAGGGTACGGACTGGGAGGGAAGTTGCTCGCGCAAATCCTGGCCTGTGCTGTGATTGCTGATCTTGGTAGGCGCTGCATGGAGTGTTTAAATTTGTCTCAGCCTCATAGAAATTAAGACTAGCCGGGTTCACTAATCCTGGTCCCTCTTCAGCACCCTCTTAAGGGTAGTTTGTGTGTGCCGCAGGTGGGTCAAGAAAGACCAGGCTCGGCTGAGATGGCCTCTGCAGTTAAGTGGCTGCCGACACTCACTACCAAGGTTCACACACGAACAATGACCACTTGGATGAGGTATCGGAGAGCAACCAGCACCTGTGCAACTGCACTTCAGTCAGGAGAGGACAGACAAGGAGCGGGGGGGGGTTGGGGGGGGAGAAAAATAGCAACAACTCACATTTATTTAGCGCCCTTCAAGCGGGGCAGTGTCCAGGAGCACTTAAATAGAAAATTAATTGGAAACCCCTTTTTGTTTATTGCGAACTCCCACTTTAGCTAAGTGCCCGCTCTTTCCCCTGACTTCTCCGTCCTACATATGCTCTATCCTGCAGTTACATACTGGGGCCTAACTGAGATGGCACTGGTCGGGATAATAGAATGTGATTCTGGGGCAAACAGCCAAGGCCATTACTTGATTAAAACCACGCAGTGATTCAAACCATAAAACTGCAAAACTAAATATATTAATAATAGAAAAGCAAAGGATGAAAGTCAGCATAATCTTGAAGTACGAGCAATCGCCGTCGGCAATTGGAAACAAATTGCACTTTAAAAATGATCTCAGATATCTTTCAGAAACTTGCTCCAAAACACTCAATAATTAATTGGCCAACTTCATTCCATAGTTGAAAACATTTACATTTCTGTTTGGAACAAATTCTGATCACATTATTAGCGAGTTTAAGTCCTCTGAAATTATGACAAAGATAATCCCTTATTCATCTGGCAGTCCTGATGCTGTGATATACACGTTAATACAGGAAGAGCTCCAGATAAATCAGCTTCATTTTGGTTTCAAATTAACTTAAGCATCACTTCAATCTGAACGTAGTGCCACAGATTTATTGTACTATTTAATTTAGCTCTGGTGCTTTTTATTGTCAGCAGGCAAGCTGTGTGAGGCAAACCTGCTCGCTTTGCTTCCACTTGTGAAGACATTTGAATGTGCGAGCTGCAAATTTGAGATTGATTTTCCAGTATTCGTGCTCGGGTTGTCGTTGTCATAGCTACAGCTGTAGTTGTTGAGGGCTTTACACAGTGGATGTCTGAGTCATGGCTATATTTGTTGAATTCCCCATTTCTTATTGAGCGAGCATTGAAAGAAAGTCGTGTCTCTCCAGATCACTGTTTTGGCTGCAGTAATAAGGCACAGTAATATAGCTTGCAGCAGCCAGATACAATACAATTTACATTTACATAGGGCCTTTCACATTGAGAGGACATCTCAAAGTGCTTGACACCACTGGCTGGGCGCTGAGTTGGGGGTGTTGGAGCCAAAGTGGGTGGGAAGAGCAAAAGAAGACGAAAAGTGCAGTCCAAGAGGTACATCTTGAGGCATTTAAAAAGCTGTACATATGTTTGTTTTACATATTTGCTAAATAAATCATTTAAGGACAGATTCAAGAATATCCGGGATTAATTTCCGTTATTTGTTAACAGCTTATTAAGGAATTCTATCGGAATTCCCATCGGCACATAATTCTCATTGGAGCAGAGTTCCTGTAGGTCAACATGACACACTTAATTTTACCGGACGTATTTGCACATCTCTTATTAAGGAATTCTGTAATGAAATACCCTAGATTGGATCAATGAATGTAAGGTGCAGGATATAGAAAAAATAAGGAGTTTAGCTTTTTGAGAAAACAGAGGTTAAAAAGCGTACTTTTTGCAAACAATTTTTTTCCTTCAATATCAATTATGGGCAATGTCAACATTTGTTTCGGATTCCTAGCCACCAGAACTCATTTTTAACTTAACAAGTTCACTTTTAAAATTATTGTATTTTTAGGTCGCAGTACCTACCCTTACCTTTAACCTTTCCCTCTACCATTCAATGTTTCCCTAAACCCTTTAATATCGTGATGTGTTTATCAGCTAGAAACAGGTAAGCAATGCCCTGAACGGCTTGAGCTGTTGGCATCTGCGCATCATGCTTTGGTCCCTATCCAGGCTCTGACAGATGGCACAAAAGCTTTCTCTTTGCCAGCTGGTAAATGGCATGTTTGCATGAAAATTGTTTGCCAAAACTTTTTTTTAAAAAAAAGCAATGTTTAGAAACACACTGTGAACACCACATAGAAATGTTTTGTCCTTCCAAATGTCGTGTCGATGAAAATAAGACACGACTCTCCCTTCATACAGATTGGGGAAGATTTGCCACGTACAGTTCTTGTCTTATGGGATTCAGAGTCTTGAAATGTGGGGCGATCCTGCATTTCACAACTCTGGATGTTTTCATATTACAAAAGGTACATAAATTTTCCTGGCTCCTGACTGCGAGTAAATATTTTTTTTTTTTTTTTAATTTGTGTTTTGTATTTTATTTGGCTCGGGGGATTGGGTTCCCAAGATATAAAAACACACACACAAAATAAATGGTGCACAACATGATACATCTCTCCATGTGCAAGTGGCATACGTGTGTTGAATGCGTTGCTTTTATATGTGTCAGCCTGGCTCAATTAGTGGTACTTTCACCTCTGAGTCAGAAGGTTGTGGGATGAAGCCCCAATGTCGAAAATTCACTGCGATGGTGTGCTGCATTGTTGGAGGCGCTGTTCTTCAGCTGAAACATTAAACCGAGGTCCCACCTGCCTACTCAGGCACCCGTTAAAGATTGAATTACACTGTTTGGAAAAAAAAGAGGGATTAGTCTCCCGATATCCTGGCCAAAATGCCTCAGATATAATTGATCATTCAATTCATGATCATTTGTGTCAAATTGGCCACGGTGTTCGTCTACAAAATACAGCTACAGTCTATCCTCCGAAGCACTTTGAGACATCCTCCCGATGTGAAAGGCACGATATAATATTATTATTATTACACTTTGCCTCCTGAGAAAGGCTCAACTCCAGAGCCGAAGTGATAAACTATGTGAAAGTGACATAAGTCCTCTAAAGAAAACAAGTTTAGAAAATTCCAAATCAGCCTGTACAGTCTGCTGAATGCACGGCAGCAGCCTGTGAGAAACTCAGTCACCATCTACATTTAGCTCGAAAGAAAAACAGCAAAATATGTGAGTTGGATACCCAGACACCAGTTGTGAACAAAGCACATTATGTTTTTAGCAGGAAGCGTTATTTAGGAAGAATAAATAAGGAATGCTAACCTGCGGGTTGCAATGTGTGAAGGTTGAAAAACAGTGCTTGTTCGTGATGAGTAACTGCTATTGTAATTGCCATGGTGACACCTTACCTCTGACGTTCTTACTCTCTGCTTTTCTTCCTATTCCCACTCAGCACCTGCATCTCAGTGAAGATGTGGCTGGAGCGACTTTCATGGCAGCAGGAAGCTCAGCCCCTGAGCTTTTCACCTCCATCATAGGTAAACGTCAATGGCGTCAAAATAAATCTCATACCTTGTTTGTTCCAGTGCTGTTCGTGCAGGAGCTTTCGTAGTACATCTTCCTTACTCAAGTGAAAGCTCTTTGGTCTGACAAATGCTTAGAGTTGCCACCTCCTGCAGCAGAGAATAAACTGCACTGAAGGTGTGCTCTCCTCCCTGGGAATAAGGCCAGTAACATGTGTCAACCTGGTTCAGTGGTAGTGCTCTCGTTTCTGAGTCAGAGGTTGTGGGTTCAAGCCCCATGTAGGGACTTAGAATCACTTCGCCTAAGATGACACTTCATTGCAGTACTGGAGGGATTTTGCATTGTCGGAGGTGCCACCCTTCGGATGAGCTATTAAACCAAGGTCCCATCTGCCTGTTCAGGTGGACGTTAAAGATCCCTTGGCACTATTTGAAAAGAGAAGGGAATTTTTCTCAGTGTCCTGGCCAATAACCCCCCAAATAAAAATTGTTCACTCACTCCATAGCTGTTTGGGAGACATTGCTGTCTGCCTCATTTTCCCCATAAAATACACAGTCAAGCCACTTTACTACATATCCTATGAAGTGCTTTGAGACGTCTTTACAGCGTGATAAGGTGCTACATCAAATGTAAGGATTATTATTATTACTGAAGAGGTGTTCTTCTCCCGAGGAATAAGGACAGCGCTGAAGAGGTTCTCCTTCAGAATAAACATAGCACTGAAGAGGGTAAACACAGCTAAACACAACTAAGTCTAACTGTATTCTTGCCAATCATCCAAATATGTCTGCCATCGGCTACAGGAAAAGAAATGGAAACAGGAACTCTAGTCGAATTTCCCCTCCCAAATCCAAGGTTGCTGGAGCATTTGCCAACCCCCCATCTGAGGTCAGCTAACACGGATAATCCTTGCATTGGTAGGCAAAGGGATATTTGAAAAACTCCACCAATTGGGCAAGAGGTAATTATTTTACCCGATGTGGTAGTCTCAGGCATTCAGACAGAAACTACAACTTGTATTTATTATTATTATCTAATGCTCTTCACGCTGGATGGCCTCTTGGAGCACTTAACTCGGAGCGTTTAATCAGACCAGAGTTATATACAGTCTGCTTTGTCTGTATGTCTGACCTTTTTATTGTGCAGCAGGTGATTGACCTAACAAGTCTTGGAGTTTTGAAACATTTGCATTCTGCTTTCTGTTCTCCTCAGCGGTCTTCATCACGAAGGGGGATGTAGGAGTCGGTACCATTGTGGGCTCTGCTGTGTTCAACATTCTCTGCATTATTGGAGTGTGCGGTATTTTCTCGGGAATGGTAAGCGATTCCTATTATATAGTTTTGACGAATGAGTCTGAAGTCTTGTCACATGCTGGGAGCTGGTGCTGATGGTTGGGTGGGGGTCAGTGGAGATGGGTGTTGGCACAGGAGTTTCACAGGAGGGGCAAGAAGCCAGGAGGAAGTGTGAGATGGTGGCTGGAGGAGGTCTCGTGGGAGAGGATAAATGGAGGAAGGCCTGTGTAAGGGGCTAGAGGAGGTGCCGTCTTTCAGAGAAGTCATTGCACCAAGATCCCGACAGCCTATTCAGATGGATGTTAAACATCCTATGGGCCTATTCCTCACAATCCTCACCCTTGTATTCAAGTCCTGCACTTCTCTGCACCCCCCCTACCTCTCTGACCTCTCTCCTCAAAACAGTACCTGTTGCCTTCGCTCCTCCGAGTCTGGCCTCCTCCTCATCCTCTAAGTCCTCCGCTCCACCCTTGGTGGCCGTGCCTTCAGCCACTATGCCCCGAGGCTCTGGAACACCCTTCCTCACTCCCTTCGCCTCACTCCCTCCCTTCCTATTTTCAGGTCTCTACTGAAGACCTTCCTTTTCGACCGCACCTTTGGTCACCTTCCCCTCCCCCTGGCTCAGCCCCAGGATCCGTTACTGTGAAGCTCTCTGAAACGCAGTCCAAGTTGTTGTTGTTAAAAATCATATGGGCCTATTCGAAATGAGAGCAGAGTTTCTCCCAGTATTCTGGCCAACAGTGAATCGGGCAAATTGGCCGCACAGCTAATACAGTTCCTGCACAACACACTGCACTTAACAGTAATTACTATGGAGCCATTCGAGATGTTTCAAAGTGGTTAGGCGCAATATTAAATGCAAGGTTTTGTTTATATTGAACATTAGCAAAACGGAGCTGCTCAGAAGGTAGATTTGCTGCCAAAATGAATGATGCAGAGTGAGTGCTTTCAGCACTTCGCAACACCATAATAATAATAATAATTCCTTGCATTTGATATAGCGCTTTTCACGTCTTCTTGCCGTCTCAAAGCGCTTCACAGAATAGACTGTAAAGTGAATTGACTGTATATTTGTGGGCAAAACGTGGCAGCCAATTGCGCACATCAGTGTCCCACAAACAGTCGTGGATTGAAAATGACCAATTTATTATTGTGTTTTGTTTTGGAGGGATTATTATTAGGCGCGTGGAGTAAGGAAACTTTCCCAGAGTTTCACCCTGCCTGGAATTGAACCCAGATGTCTCGCTTGCAAGGCGAGTGCTCTAACTACTGAGCTACAGGACTCCACACTATCACTATCCAGTGTAAAGGGCGCTATATTAATGCAAGTTGTTTGCATATGTTGAACAATCGCTAAATGGTGGATACCAAGAATAAGCCTATGTAGATTAGTGTTGGCAAGATTTTTTCAACCAAGTGATCTTGAAGCTCGGCTAGCAGGTAAGGAGAAGGATGAGAGAGCATCAGTAGAGGCAAGGATTGGAATTCAAATCACTGGGAGTCTCAGTCACTCTACCACCAGAGATATTGAGAAGGTTCCAGAGTAGATGCTGGATAATTGGTTGGCAGTGAATTAGAAAATGTATACATTGCTATTGAGAATGAACAGTATGAGATTGCTGTTAGTTCATGAAATGCAACCAAAGGGTTAAATCACGAATACTCCTACTAGCTGAACAATGTGAAGTGTGCACACTGAATCTCAAATGGGAAAATACTTGCATTTAAAGCTTCCCTCCTGCGGTAATATTCATCTTTAAAAAGACAAATGGTTTGACAAAAATAATTACAGATTTTAAATCAGAACCATCCGAAAGGATCTCTGATAGAGGAAATGTTATGGATTTTTCATTTAATTATTACGCTTCATTAATTCAGGCCATTAAATGAATTATGTGTTCATGAGTTATGTTCAAATGTGCATAAATGACACCTAATTTTATATTGCTTTTAAAATTCAGCGTCGGAAACCCTTGAGTTATGTAAATTTAGAAAATTATTAGAAATTAACATGCTACAAGGTTATGCTCTCCGTACATTCATACATTGTGCTTTAGGTCATTCAAATCATTCATAAAATAAGCAGAGAACAGCCTGATACAATTGATTGGCAAAAAGAATTGGAGGGTGTGGGAGTGGAAGAATTCTAATTTTGTTTAATTGAAATGAACACAAGCTATTTCATGTTTGTGTGTGTGTCTGTCCGTCCGTCCCCCCATTCATCCCCATTTTCTTTTCATTGCCAGCAAATCTGTTTCAAATTCTAAATTGTTACAGACCTACGCATATGATGACTGAACATCAATTGGTAGCAGGAACCCTTACCTTAACCCTCGTCACTGAGATCAGATAACTCGGAACAGATTAAACCCAAACCTAGTCTGTGAGATTTAGCTCCGTGCTATGCATTGCCTTTGTCAATGAAGCCATCAGGAGAGATCTAGAAGGAAGCTGTTTTTTAATGTAATTATACCCATTCCCCCAAATTCATGGTGTTTTTCTCAGAGGTGGACAGTCTGGATATATCTGCACTCTCTTGGTCAGTCTGGAATGTGGGAATATTAGATTCTTGAGCACAAAATGTCCATGCCATGAGATATTATGTCATTCGCAGAGAGGAGGAGAGAAATTTAAGTGGAGAAATATTTGCATCTTGGATTCACACTCAACAAAGCCACTATTTTTTAACATTTTACAGGATATTGGATAGTAGCAAAGTACTTGTTCAATAAAGTGACGTTGAGAAGCCACAATCTGGGATCCAAACCCTCAACCCCTTCTCTTCCTAAATCAAGTATCTGGCCAGCTCTATCTGCGGCTTTGGAATAGTGTAACTTTGGCCCTGATCCTTAAATAGGGAATGTAATTTAAAAATACCACAATTTTGATCACATTGATTATCCAGATATTACTCTATCCCTTGCCCCTTCCTTCCCCATCTTCAGGTGGTCCTTGAAGACCTTCCTATTCAACCGTGCCTATGGTTACCTCCCTCTCCTCACAGCTCGGTGTCGTGCTCTGCTACTGGCAAACGCTCTGGGACGCAACCTTGCGTGAGGGGTGCTATATAAATAAAAGTTGTTGTACTAACAAGATCATTTAAAAAGTGATAAAGGTATTAATGATTCTCAGCCGGCTCCATTTTGAAATGAAAACTGGATTATTATAACAACAACAACTTGCATTTATATAGCGCCCTCCACTCCAGGCAGCGTTTCAGAGCGCTTAACAATGGCAGAGCCCGAGGCTGAGCCAGGGGGATGGGTAAGGTGACTGTTGGTGCGGTCGAAGAGGAAGGTTTTCAGGCGAGACCTGAAGATGGGGAAGGCGAAGGGGTTGAGTTCCAAAGTTTCAGGGTGTAGTGGCTGAAGGCACAGCTGCCGATGGTGGAGCGGAGGATTTAGGGGACACGGAGGAAGCCGGACGCAATAGAGCGGAAGCAGTGGGTACTGCTGTGGGGAGAGAGGAGGCCAGAGAGATTGGAGTGTGCCAAGGAATGGAGGGATTTAAACATTAATAACATTTCCTAGAATGGAATCCACAGTGTTTTAGTAAAATGTGCCTTCACTTCTCATTCCCCGCTGTCCCATTCCCCCACTCCCAACCACTCCCAGTGGTAACATTTCAGATCAGGCAGCTGCTGAGTGTGTACTACTGGCATCTGCTCAGTGCCTAGGTACCAGACCACACAGCAATTATCTGGAGACTGCCCAGAAACTAACATATAGAGTTGGAGGTCGAGGGGACGGGGGCAGGCCACTGGATGTTCACGTGTATCACTCCTAGTTACAGTACCATTGCTGCTACTGAACGACAGATTGCTCTTTGCCTGAAGATCAAAGGAACTGATGTATCGTGGCATTGTAATGAAGCTGTAATGAGTATCCGAGCAACCTTCATATTCTCTAGGTGGATACTTCAAGGGGTGATACCTGCCCTAACCACACTTAGGAGGTTTTCTAACACACACTCCTGTCATTGAATTCAACATCTGCTGTGTAGGAGTGAGAGGGAATTGCTCTCAAATGATTTTTTCATCAGTGGGTTAACCTGTAGTTCAGTTTTGCCCAGGCACAAACTCTGATGCAACAGTTGTACTTCTGAGGTTGTATGTGGGCAAGGAGGTAAGAATGCAATTTATTAATTCAAGAGACTGGCATTTCCAGGTCAGTCTCTATTATTGCCAAGTTCAAAGTTCCCAGAATTGGATTTGTATCTCTCTACCCACCCCACCACCCACCCCACCCAGTCTGAGTGAAAACTCCTGTATAAAATTGTTGAATAATCAACAGAAATGTTTTTAACCTTATATGGATTTTGATGGGCATACTCACCATGTCGGTCCATGTCAGGATATGAGTTCACAGTTCAGTGCAATACAGGGGAGTGCTGTATTGTTGGAGGCGCTGTCTTTCACGTGAGATGCTAAAATAAGGCCTGGTCTATCTGTTCAAGTGGGCTTCAAAGATCCCAAGACACTATTTGAAAAGTACTTTCTCCCTCTATCCTGGTTAACAACTGGGTTAATTTACTGCATGGATATTTATGGGTCCTTGAGATGTGCAAATGACTGCTGTGCCGCTTGTCAGTAATTATTTGTGAATGCCTTTGAGAAGCTTTGACATGATAAGGTGCTATAAAAAATGCAATTTCTTTCTTCTTTGCTGACAGTGAGGGAAGTTGCAGACTAATAGGGTTCACTCCCTATTTACAATTGCTGTCATTCAGCCTGCTACTTCTATATCTTGGAAAGCTCCGTCAGTCTGCCATTCTAATACCAGTCAATCGTGGGACTGTGTCAGCACCCAAGAACTGTGAGTGGCAGCATTAACTACAAGCAAGGGAACAGCCAACTTAGAGGCTTTAACGTGGGCTGAGGTTAGAAGCAAATTAGTTCCCGGTTGAATGTGGATGATAACTGGCATTTGGCCCGATAGCACTCTTTTTTGGTTAAGACCTGAAAGCATGGATTTGTATGCAAATTTGTGTTATCAGACTTTTCAGAAGTCCAGAATGGTTACATA